AGCTGCATCATTTCCAGGGCTATCATGGACATTCAGCATTTCCTGGAACCTCAAGCGTCCTAATACATTCTATCAGTAATGCCTGTTTGGTACTCAGTTTCAATCCCCACCTCAAATAGTTGAAGAGGCTGAACTTAGCTGCCATTTTAGTTTTCCCACAATGCTACCAGTCTGAGGCACTGCGGGGAATTAAAAATGTAGCTTAGAAAGGGCTTCCACCTTAGTTTTTAGGAATTCCCAGGAACAATACTTTATCAAGGCAGAATGAAAACTCTAAATGGCAGCTATGTTCAGCCATACTTTGATGAGGTGAATCCATCGGGAAACCATTGAGAAGGTTCACCAGAGAGCTGTTGGCCAAGATCCCACTGAATCCTAGTGTTTCCAATCATTTCTTTTGACTAGCCATCTATATATAATCCTATAACAATAACATGTGGGGAGTTAAATCAGAATCTTAGACTTATGTTTCACTTTGTTCTTTTTTTTACTTCTTCTCTCCTCCTGCCAATGGAAATCAACCTGGGGGGGATTGGCAATAGAGTTGACTATGAGCTATCATTTAAAAGCTTATGTAAAGTTGTGCTATGGTTTTTCAAAGTCCTGGATTTTTCCCCATCATGGATACAGACTTCAGTTCAATTCATGAACACAGACTTTGGATTTCAAATGCATTTCAGTGCAGAACACACTACCCAGTGTTTACATGTCTGCTCATGTTCTGTATATACAGCTTAACTTTCAGTTAGACACAGGTGCATAATTCACTGAGTTCCCAGCACAAGCTGCACAGAAATGAATGGCGGGTATGTGCAAGAGCACCACTGTGATTTGTGCCATTCCCAGTCATTCAGTGGGGCTTGCCTTGGACATATGCACTTCATCATTGGAGACAAAACAAGAATAGATTACCCTTTCACAAACACAAAGGAAATGCAGTTTTAATTAACCCCTATCAGAAATCCCCCGGACTTTGTCAATTCACACTCAAAGATACACATTTTGTGATTCTTTTGAAACATCCGTCAAAAGCGACCCAATACATGGCTAAATACATGAAATATTTGTTTCTCATTTGCCAATGCAAGGCAAAAAAGAGAGGGGGGGGGATTTTGGGGTACAAGGAGAGTTGCACCAGTTGATTATTTTTAGATTTGTTTTTAAATACGGTTATTGATTGTCCTCCATGCTTCAAATGTATACTTTTGAACTGAGATTGCTAGATAATTTATCTAAATGGTTATTTTTACATGCACTTGCTTTCTTGATAGGAAAAAATGTTAATTTCTTTGAAAGGTTTCTACACGAAGAGTCTGTTTTAAAATATATCACACAGAGCTTTCTATTGATTCATTCTTTGAAATAAAAATATTTTCCCTGATTTTTTTTTTCAAATTTATTTATTTATTTTTATTTACCATTTGTGCTGATGATGGACATGACACAAAACCTGTAACAAACTAGTGAGCTAGTGAGGGGATTTGGGCTGTACAAGACTAGCTTGCTTCTTTTTATTCTAGTTGGTGTAGAACTTAAGCATCAATAGAAAAAAAAAAGGCAAGCTTGGAATACCAAGGTACAAAAAGGAGATAACTAAGAAACAAACATGAAGAGGAATATTAAAATTTTTGATATTTAATAAAGAGACCAAAAAGCTCCACATATCATGCTTCCGTAGAGCAGTTTTTTATAATCTGCCAACCCATGCTGGCTGGAAATCTTGGATGTTTCAGCTTCAATACCTGGAGGCAAATGGTTGGGGAAGTTTAAATAATAATGTATCTTACATGAAATCATATATGTATGAATATATCTGAGTTTATTTTAATCTTATTTCCTCTTTAAAGCAGAGGCTTTATGATCAGCATCCTTTTCCTGTTTGATTTCAGAATACGTCCGCCTTCCCCAGCCTGATGCATATCAGGTATGTTGGGATCGCAAGGCCCACAATTCTCAGATAGTGGCCAGTGGAGATGTATATCCTAACAGATCAGCAGGCTACAATTGAGGTATCTTTTGTCTAGATTAACATCTCTCAACCCCAGCAACTTTCAGACCTGTGGACTTCAACTCCCAGAATTCTCCAGCCAGCATGCATTAATCTAGACTCATTTTCTGTGTCAAGCCACACAGTCTGGCAAATTCTGAATATTAATGAAGTTTAAAGTATCCCTCAATTTCACAGTACTGTTGCTAAAGTAATTCCTTTTTGCCCTTACAATAATAACATCTAGTGTTGAGTCTGAAACACATTGTCAATCAGTAAGCCCAGTGAGTTACTGGGACTTAGCAGTTGCATTAAAGACCATCTTTGCAATATTGTGTGCAAAATTTATTTGGTGCATTATTGTTTTGAATGACAATTCAGGGCTCCCACATATTTTTATATTAGTTATAGTATCTTGAATTCACCCTATAGATAACAATCTGTAACTTTCCAGAATGCTGTTTTCTTGGGGTGGGGGGTGGATGGGTGGGTTGTAAGCATATGTCCCTTTGGTTTAATTTGTTTGCATGGAATAAACACTTTTACTGGCTGACATTGTTCAGTTTACTTTACTGGCAATTTGAATGAATAGATACAGTAATATTGGAAGGGCTTCCTTGGTAACTGGATAATTGAACAAATGTGAGAAACATGCAGAATCATGTGCAAAGGATTGTTACAACCCATAACAGTTTTTAAGATAAACATGTGCTTATTGCTTTTGTCTGTGCATGGTGTGTGCATTAGAAGTGGAAGGACAGTACAGCTCGAATTGACAAGACTTACATTCAAGACCAACAGCTATTTGACACCAGAAAAAATACTGCTTTGACAAGTGACGGGTAGTTGTTTTCATGGATGCAGTGCATTATTTACAGAGATCCATTTCAGTTTGCCAAGTCCTGTTATTTGTAATGTAATTACTCATGATAGATAAGTGCAATGCACTCTACTTATAACGTCCCCAAACTGAAAATCTGGTACAAAATCTTTTTTTCCACTAGGGCCTACCATCCTACCTTCCTTTTTAATAAATAGCTTTTGTTAAAAAGTTTTTCTATCTATTGACATGGGTCAATAGTCATGAGTTGAATGCATCTTTGTAAGCCTTTTCTCAGGGAATGAAATAAAAAAAAAAGAAAAGATGCTCCAATACTTTTTTGAATTAGGCTGTTCTGAGCTTCAGGCCACATTGACCTTGAGTTACCCTTTCATATGTGCTTCATGGTCAACGCTGAAGGGCCATGAATTAAAGTGCCAGCCCCAGATCACCTTGTCCCCTGCAAATGAGTGCACTATTCTACAAAAAGAAGTCAAGCTTTCAAAGATTTTATAGGTGTGCATGTATCTTAATATTACACTATATTACAGTAACAAAGGACAAACATTATGTGTTATCATCACAGTTATCGTGCAGCTTGTTACCAGGTGGGTAACAAATCACAGATGTGACGAGGCACAAATAAGGAGAGTGTTTGTTTTTAAAGTGCTTGTGTTTTAAAAATACATTCTCTGCTCTTCTTGATTCCACCTTTGTCACAACATTAACATAAAGTGCTTTGTAATACCAGCAAAATGAAAGGAAATAGTAGGAATTATAAATCCAAGCTGGTGTAGCTGTTTGTGTTTTTGTCAGAAACAACCTGTTTCAAAATAAAATGGAAATGTGTTAAGTTCATGGCCTTTATTCTCTTGCTATTTATACCCTCCTTCCTACTGTTAAATTCCAGAAGTGCCTATGTGGATGTATACCACTCCAGATGGCAGGAGGATCATTCCTTGGAAATAACTTTTTTTTGCATATTTATATATTTATAACTTGCATATTTTCGCATTCTACATTATTTAAGTGCAAAATGTGATAGAAATAAACTTGTTGCTTAGTGAACAGGTTGGGTGTAACTCACTTCCCCTCCCCTCCCGATGATGTGCAAATAATTCAGGAAGAAGAAATGGAATATCTTTCCAATATTACTTAATTTCTTTTGTGCTGGAATTGTTCTCAAAGCAAATATGGATTCTTGGTTCAGGCTGCCATTTCTGGCTTTTTTTGTTGTTGTTTTGCCGCTGTTCTTTAATTTCCCAACTGTTGAGGTTTGGGTGATACCTTCTAAGGATACCTTTCTCCAACACACAAAAGATTAGATCCACCTGGTTTATTTATTTTCAAGAATACATAAAAACATCCATTCATAAAAAAGTATGAAAATCTCTTTTTTAAACATCTTACCATATTTAAGTTTGAAAACTATCTTCCTAATCCCAAGTTAAAAATTACATCCCTGATCTCGGATTTTAGTATGACTTTTTAGCAGAGTCAGTTGTTTTTTTTACATATAACTTTGAAGGGATATTTTGGGTTTAGAACAAGTGGTGCAACTCACCCTGCTGATTTTTTTTAAAATAAAAAAATAGATTTTAATGCGTCTAGAAATAGAGAGAAATGTTTAAAAGTTTATTTCTCAATTCACTGCATTTGTGATTTAATAAGCCTACTCGAGCCCTGTTCGTCTTCAGACCTTATATTCATCAGAGGAAAAGGCATGGATGGGGATGTTTGGAATAGTTACCTTTAAGCATAAAGCATAAAGTTGCATTTCTGATCACATCTACCATTTGTTCCAGTATTTGACTATAGATGTCTAGATCACTTTAAGATGACAATGCAATTCAGATACTGGTATTGCCATAAAAGAGGTCTATATGTTAAAGGAGTGAATGAATGGAAGAATTGGTCACACTGACTTCTGGAAAGGAAGTTGAAAGGTGATCAATTTATGATCAAGAGGTGCACAAACTTCATTTTACTTAATGACTGTCGTGTGGTTGGAGTTGGAATTTGGAGTAAATTCAGAGGAGGTATTATCCTTAATCCCATTTCAAGACATCCTTCTGATTTTTAGAAAACAGGTGGCTTGATCAGTCAAAAGTTCATGCCATGCAGAATCTCTTCTTTGTGTGTTGGGTGCAAAGGCATTCCTGTCAGTTGTTAGCCAACATTCTGCAGTTTTGATCAGATATTTTGATCATGTTTGTTAATATGTCCTCCTCCACCACCACCTGGTAATATGTGAATCTCAGGTGAAATATGGTTGTCTAATTTGATAGTTTCCTGGTTACCATGGGTTCTTCCAGTGATATTTTCCATGGAATAAAGGCAATTTTGCCCTAAAAGCTTGGGTGTAGAGGACAAAGCAGCAGTTGCTAAACGATCCTTCTCTGTTTTACAAATGTTATCTCGTTGCCTTATATAGCCTCTTTGAGAAATGCTGTATTTGGGGCTAGTATGTCCTGAAGAGGCTCTTGGAGGACTTGAGTCATAGAGCAACTGACCTTCATCATCTGTGTCAGCATCAATAAATTTATGAATGCCAGCATCATGGAAGTTAAGAACAATCGGTGCCTGCTTCTCAGGTGACTTTGTAGGGGTTCTAGCACTTGCAGTCGTATAAACAGAAGTTTCTGGACTCATCAGAGACCGATCAGAATAGCCAGAACTATCTGTGGCAGCACCTGTAGCTCCCCTGTTCTTGATGGTATCAGGGTATATTCTTAGGACATTTGAAGCTGCTGACCCTACAGCATCCTCTTCCATAAAATTAACCTTCAGAGACCTCAGTTTTAGAGGGTTAATGAGTTTTATTGAACTTTTGGGGCTCTCTATGAAAAAGGTAGAGCAATGGCCACTTTCCAGATTTGGTTTTATTTCCATGAATTTGGACCCACTTCCTTCCAGTCTATATGGGTCGTGAAGGGGAAGCTTTCCACCTTTGCTGGTCAGTGATGTCAGTGGGCTATGAGAGTATCTCCCAGCTTCGGGAAATTCAGTCATGCAGCTTATGTAACTGTCAATGCTCGACATGCTTCGCATGTCAATTATTCCATCTGCCCGAGTAGTCAACAAAGGGACCATTGGGCCAGGAATGGCCTCCATTTCTAGTTCTTCTTTTTGCTTGCTGGGTTGAGCTGTCTCCTTTAAATTGAGGTTTGGCTGTGACTGAGCTTTAGTCATTTTGTTGTACATGTCTTCCAGTTGCTGAACATTCAGATGCTGAGGACTAGAGGAAGACCTAGCTTTTTCAGGTGACCCTTGTTCCTTTGTCTCCAAGGATTTATTGGAGCTAGTTTCAGAGATTGATCTTTTGGTCCATTTCCATTTGCTTGGGGATAAATGATTGTCCTGAACTTTATCCTTTTTTCCTGCATTTTCTCCCTTCTTTTCAACAACGATGTCCATCAATTCTATACTACGTGCAAAAGCATCCTTCATGTTCATGGACACGATGCTTCCGTTCCTTTTGGCTCTTTCAAGGGCTTCCCTACGCTTAATGGCTTTTTCCTGCCTCTTCTGTTCTTTGTAGAACTCTGAAAAGTTATTTACAATGATTGGGATTGGAAGGGCAATCACTAAGACTCCAGCAATACAGCATAAGCCACCAACTATCTTACCTAAAAGAGTCTTAGGGTAGATATCTCCGTAACCAACGGTTGTCATGGTTATTGTTGCCCACCAGAACGATGCTGGTATGCTCTTGAATTTTGTATCTTCCTCATCTTTTTCTGCAAAAAACACTAAGCTTGAAAAGATCATAATGCCCATGGCCAAAAACAAAATAAGTAATCCAAGTTCGTTGTAGCTTCTCCTCAATGTAAACCCCAGAGATTGCAAACCAGTTGAATGCCTGGCCAACTTTAGAATACGGAGTATCCTCATGATACGAAATATTTGGACTACCCTCCGGACATTTTGGAATTGAAGTACACTTTTGTTGGATTCTGTGAGGAAGATGGTGACATAATAGGGCAAGATTGCTAACAGGTCAATGGCATTCAGGGGCCCTTTGAAAAATTTCCATTTCTTAGGAGAAGAGAGGAAACGCAAGAGATATTCCATTGTAAACCATGCGATGCACACGGCCTCTACGTGAGCTAGCTGCGGGTTATCTGTAGGATTTCCATACTCATCTGTATCCTGAAGCTCAGGAAGAGTATTTAGAGACAAGGCAATTGTAGAGAGCACAATGAACATGATGGAAATAATGGCCAAAATCTGCAAAAGAAAGAAGAAAAGTAGTCAATACCACAAAGAAATCACAAGGCATCTTACATTTGCTATGTTTTTTAAAAGAAAAAAAAATGGCTTCATACAAACCGATGAAGGAAGGATGGGTCCATGAAATATGGTAAAAAGCCTGGGAAGGCCTGTCTTTTCATCCAGCATTAGGACCAGAGGTGGTATTCAGCAGGTTCTGACCAGTTCTGGAGAACTGGTAGTAGAAATTTTGAGTAGTTCGGAGAACCGGCAAATCCCACCTCTGACTGGAGATTTTACAGTATCCTTCCCCTGCCATGCCCACCAAGCCATACCCACAGAACCAATAGTAAAAAAATTTTGAATCCCACCACTGATTCGGACCAATGTGAAATTAAACACAGGGCCCAAAGCAAATCATCAAGGCTTACTGCAGGGTTTCTTAAACTGCTGACGGAACTCTTCAGAATTAGATTCAGAATAAAGCTGGAAGGGACCTTGACTGTCCAGTCTCTTCTAAGTCCCCCTAAAGAATATTGACACTTCTCCCAATGAAGATATTTATATATCTCAGAAAGGCAGGAGACACTACAGGTAGTCTTCAACTTACAACAATTCATTTAGTGATCATGCGAAGTTACAATGGCACTGAAAAAAATGACTTATGACCATTTTCCACACTTATCTGAAGCATCCCCATGGTCATGGGATTTACATTTGGATGCTTGACAGCCGGTTTATATTAATGTCTGTTGCAATGTCCCAGGGACATGTGATCATCTTTTGCAAATTTTTGCCAAGCAAAGTCAATGGGGAAACCAGATTCACTTAACAATCATGTTACTAATTTAATAACTGCAATGATACACTTAACAAATCTGGCAAGAAAAGTTGTAAAACGGGGCAAAACTCAATTAACCAATTTCTCACTTAGCAATATAAATTCTGGGCTCAATTGTGGTCATAAGTCGAGGACTACCTGTAATGCATAAGTAACAGAGGATGGAAGTATACATATTCATAGGTAAAGGATCTCAAGTTACTATAGCTAATGCAGCTCAGATTATTTCCTGCATCTGTTCCTTTGGAAATCAAAAGGGAGAAATAAAGCAATAAAACATGAAAACATCTCACATAAATCAAGAAGAGGGGGCAGCTTGTGAACACCAGGTGTCAAGAGAAAGATAATCTCTCATTGCAAATCAGTGGAGTTGTTCTAATAAAGTATCAATATATAAAGTAACAATATATATTATATCTCTGTATATCAACTTGGTTTAATCAATCCCATTCATCTAAGAACTGATTTCCCCCAAAGCAGGATATTAGTGGAACCCAGTATGTATGTTCTTGTGTTGGTCATTGTATAATGATGGTTTGGAATAGTATTTTTGGGTTTATATATTGGGGTTTTTTTTGTATTGGTTATTAGCCATCCATTACTTATTTAAGGACAGCCATATAAATTTCTAAATAAATAAATAAATAAACAAACCAAATAGTTGTACTGACTTCTAGAGTCTCTTTCAGCTCCATAGTTCTTGATTCCCAGGCCTTCTTACATCTAAGTATCAATCATGCCTTATCTTGCCTAGCTTTTGAGATGAGAAAATGTTAAGTGTCTGTGAATAAGCAGCTACATCTGTATTTTCTTTGCTTGGGGGCAGCTTTATCTTCTCAATTTACTTTAAAAGGCATGACAGCATATTTTCACAATGTTAAAATCTAAAAAGTACTTTTTCTTACAACAAGCCAAGTTTGCTTCAAAGGTGAATGGTATGCACAACACCAATGCCTTATTATACAGTCACTGCATATGTTTCTCTCCAGGGATTTATACTCCACTCAAATGGCTTACATCCTTCAAAAATACTAGAAACAGATAATAAAACTGTAATGTGTGATGTAAAATATCAGCCACCTAATAAAACAGCAATGCAAAATAATATACAAAACACAATCGAAGCACAGTGCTATGGCCCAGCACATTGTACATCATCTGCTTGATCAGATAAAAGCTGGATGAAACAATTTTTCACCAAACAGTGGAATTAAGAGTGAAAGAGGACAACTCATTTCATAATCTGGGAAGGATTATGAAGGAAAAAAGGGAAAAAAAACAGACCCAGGAAACTATAGACCAATCATCCTAATATCAATAACCGGGAAGATAATGGAAAAGATAATAAAAAAAACAGATCTAGAAACATCTAGAAACAAGTAAAGTAATGACTAGCAGTCAGCACGAGTTTGTTAAAACAGATCATGCCAAACCAATCTTATTTCATTCTTCAACATAGTGACTAAATTAGTAGACCAGCGAAATACTGTGGATATAACATATTTAGATTTCAGCAAGGCATTAGACAAAGTAGATTACAACCTACTTCTTAGTAAGCCAGAAAAAAGTGGAATAGATAGTACCACCACTAGATGGACTCGCAACTGGCTGGCAAACCATACTCAATGACTACTCCTTAATGGGTCTAAGTCTACATGGAGGGAAGTAAGCCATGGGGTGCAACAAGGTTCCATCTTAGGCCCAGTACTCTTCAATATCTTCATCAACGACTTAGATGAGGGAATAGAAGGGGAACTTACCAAATTTGCAGATGATACTAAGCTGGCAGGAATAGCTAACACTCAAGAAGATAATCTTGAGCCTATCTTCCAGATGGATCTTGACAGACTAGAACACTGGGCTGTATCTAACAAAATGAAATTCAATGTAGACAAAAGTAAAGTCCTACACTTGGGCAAGAAAAACCAAAAGTACACATATAGACTGGGTGAAACCAGGCTCAATAGCAGCAACTGTGAGAGGGATCTTGGAATCTTAGTGGACAACCAGCTAAATATGAGCCAGCAGTGTGCAGCAGCAGCCAAAAAAGCTAATGTAATCCTAAATTGTATTAACAGAGGGATACAATCAAGATCAAGGGAGGTACTCATACCACTCTATAAAGCCTTAGTAAGACCACACCTAGAGTACTGCATTCAGTTTTGTTTACCACGTTATAAAAGAGATGTTGAGACTCTAGAAAACATACAGAGAAGAGCAACCAGGATGATTAGGGGACTGGAAAGTAAAACATATGAAGAATGGTTACAGGAACTGGGCATGGCTAGTCTAGTGAAGAGAAGGACCAGGGGAGACATGATAGCAGTCTTCCAATATTTGAGGGGCTGCCACAGGGAGGAAGGGGTCAAGCTATCTTCTAAAGCGCCTGTAGGCCAGACAAGGAACAATGGATGGAAACTGAACAAGGAGAGATTTAACCTGGAAATAAGGAGAAACTTTCTGACAGTGAGAACAATCTCTTAAGTGTGGCCACCAAAAACATCTTTTCCCTTGTCCTGAATAAGTATGCATCATGAATACCATCATATTGTAAATAATATTGTCTTTCATCCTTAGACTCTCTGGTGAGTCGGGAGGAGTTGTTTTATAAGTTCTAATTATAAGATATGGCGAGAAAACATGTAATAGTCAGGAGGTGAAAATGGCTGCAGAAATCTCATTAGGAAGAGCGAGTCTCTTCCCTATTACTCATCCAGCGAATGTTTACTCTTTTTAAAACTCCGAAATAGGGTTTATAATTTGCAGCTTCTCTAGGATAATGAGATTGGGAATGTGTGCATGTGTCTGTGCTTGTGAGTTTCATTATGACAAAATAATATCTATACTTGTATGAGTGAGTTCAAACACACAGGAAGCGGATGGGAGGAAATGGCTTCATTATTTATTTAAATTTTAGCTCCATGGTTCAGTAGACCCTGGGCAACTTTCAGCAAATGGGATTTCTTATTTTTAAAGACAATTTAAATTAATTATTATGAATGCAATGAATATTAACAGTTTGACATTGTCCTGCCCTCTTTTGCATCTGCTAGCATCTTTACACTTGAATTTATATCTATCTATCTATCTATCTATCTATCATCTATCTATCTATCTATCTATCTATCTATCTATCTATCTATCTATC